TCTTGCGTGAATTTTGGGACACCCTTTATAGATATACACTATATACATATCCCATGTTCAAAGGCTGTTAAATCGCGTTGTTTGCCCATATCTTCAGAAAAAAATATCACTTCTACTGTCGTGGTAAACAACCTGTTTCCCTATGTATAATGGTCTGGCTTTCTAGCAACTTCAGCGCGAAATTATAGCTAATTTGCCTACAAACGTCAGGTGGTCATAATAATCTGGCTACTCAATATATATATATATATCCCTGAAAACCCAGGGATTCCAACAAAAATGTGTACGGATGTGTGCATAGCAGTGTGACAAGAGCCAGAAAGTGGAGACAATCCCAGTGTCTGTCCATGGGCCGATGGATAAATGAATGGGATCCATCCACACAGTGGAATATTACGCAGCCAGGAACAGGAGTGAGGCTGTGACCGGCTACCATGCGGATGAGCCTTGAGTACATGAGGCTCAAGTGACATAAGCCAGACACAGAGACACAAAAACTGGAGAATTCCACGTATATAAAAAGCCCGGAATAGGCATTCCTGCCAGGAAATTTTATTTTATTTTTTAAAAATATATTTTTTATTGATTTCAGAGAGGCAGGGAGAGGGAGAGAGAGAGAAACATCCATGAGGAGAGAGAATCATGGACCGGCCGCCTCCTGCACGCCCCCTACTGGGGATGGAGCCGGCAACCCGGGCATGTGCCCTTGACCGGGAATCGAACCCTGACCTCCTGGTTCCTAGGTCGATGCTCAACCACTGAGCCACACTGGCCGGGCGACAGTGATGTCATTGTTTTCCAGGCCGCTTCTAAGAAAAGAAGATATTTTCTTTCTTCTTCTAAAAAGACATTGTCTTTTTCTCTGCAGACATCTACCCAAAGCCGAAACCCCCATATCCCCCGCAGCCCGCAAATCCTGATACCAGTGGAAGTAAGAACCCTCATTCCTTCCTTCATTCCTTTCTTTCTTCCTTTCTTTTTCCTCTCTTTTTTAAGAAATATATTTTTATAGAGATCGCGGTGCACGAATTCGTGCACCAGTGGGGGGGTCCCTCGGCCTGGCCTGCGGGATCTGCCGAAACCGGCTCTCCGACATCCCCCGAGGGGTCCCAGATTGCGAGAGGGTGCAGGCCAGGCCGAGGGACCCCACTGGTGCACTATCGGGGCCAGGGAGGGACAGCGAGAGGGCTCCAGGGTGTGTCTGGCCCATCTCGCTCAGTCCCGATCTGCTGGACTCCAGTGCAAGCGACTGGTCGAGTCGACTGTCTGCCCCCTGGTGGTCAGTGCACGTCATAGCGACTGGTCGACTGTCTGCCCCCTGGTGGTCAGTGCACGTCGTCACGA